GCATGACATTCAACAGTGCACATCTGCAACCGACGTTCGTGGGATTCGAAGCGATATGCTTGGCTTCCCACTGCGTCACTCGGTACTGGCACTTGGAATGCGTGTCCAAATTGCCGGGCCCGCTCGCCATCGATCCTGCCCCAGATCTTCTGCGTCGGTTGAAAAATCCACGACCAGATTCTCTGCGCCGGTTGAAAGAAAAAACCCGCGAACGACACCACTCGCATCACATGCGACGATCTCCCACGCGCCGACGCCCGCGGCATCGAGGACACGCCCTTCACTGAGAGGGGCTGCGCGGACGAAGGGGCCCTCAGACTGGACGCAGCGAGTGTGGTGATGAAGATCTTGTGCCTGGCGCGCTGCCGCAGGCTTGACCTCGCGCCTTCAGGCTGCTTGCTGGCACGGGAGAATTCCATGTGGAACTATGCATGCGACGCGCGTTTGCACCGAGTGGTGTGCTATTTGAGGTCTACGCGCGCACATAGCCTCCATGGATGGATTGGGGATACTTCGGACGAGATTTCAATCGTGCTCTTCACTGACGCCTCCTTCGCGGACTGCGTCAACAGCTCCGCGTCGCCCGCCGTCCTCGTGGCGCTGGTGGGTCCCAGCGCATCATTCCCGCTCATCGCTGCGCGCAAGAAGCACACTGTTGTCTCGCGCTCTTCCACGGAGTCCGTGGCCGCGGCTCTTGACGCGGCTGTGCACACCGAAGGTATACCGTTGTTTCAATTCCGGGAGGCTGCCGTCAGTGGCCCGATGCAGAGGAATAGTACTAACATGTCCATGGCCGCCAAGAAGAAGCGATGCCAGACGCCTCCACGGAAGGCGACGCCAGTTCGCGCGCCCTCTCCCGCGCCCAGGACATCGACGCGAGCCGCGCCACCATCCCCGACTCCATCATCCAACATCGCGCACGAGGACATCGTACTACATGCCCCGCGCCCCGCTACCACGCCAGCACCATCTCCGATAGTGCACCTTATTGTGGCAGAGGACGAACAGGCAGCCATTGCGATAGTACAGAAGGAACGAGCGCCCGCGCCTCGTCATTTCCATCGTACTCATCGCATCAACTTGGATTGGGTCACAGAGGCATGCCAACAGGAACAACCACAGCACACATATGTAGGCACATTGAGGCTCTTGCTCGAGACATCCTCGAACAAGTGCGGCGTCTTTGAAACATGAGCTACTGAGTTTGCTCGCGAAATCCAGCGTTGTTTGGGAAATTGCCACTTCGGCTGACACAGCATCTCCAAACAAGTTGTTGGAGCAGTTGCCTTAAAACGCTGCTCGATAACATCGAGGCTCTCGCTGGAGACATCCTCGAGCAACGACTTGCACGCAACATCTCATTAACTCGGGGCCCCCAAGACAAACCAAGAGGGCCCCGACGCGGGGCAAGATACACCCAGCATTGCCCGATACGTGTTCAAGACGGCCCCTAAGACGGTCCAGTACTGTTCATCGTTCTTGTCACTGTCAGCGTGCACATCGCAACGTGCGCAGCACACATTTGGCACATTGAACACCCACCAGTTAACACAGGTCATGGTAATGAATTGGGCGCGCATTCTTAACATTATCCCGGTGCGACCCTACCTAGGAGTTGGAGCCTCTAGGAAAGCAACATTAGTAGGAGCGGTAAACGCCGTCCTCCATCTCCTCATCGTCGTAGTTGTAGCACTAGCGGTATTATTATTATTATCAGTAGTAGTCGTAGTAGTAGTAGTAGTAGTAGTAGTAGTAGTAGTAGTAGTAGTAGTAGTAGTAGTAGTAGTCGTAGTCGTAGTCGTAGTCGTAGTAGTAGTAGTAGTAGTAGTAGTAGTAGTAGTAGTAGTAGTATTTTGTAGTAGTAGTAGTAGTAGTAGTAGTAGTAGTAGTAGTAGTAGTAGTGATAGTACTCGTACTCGTACTCGTACTCGTACTCGTACTCGTAGTAGTAGTAGTAGTAGTAGTAGTAGTAGTAGTAGTAGTAGTAGTAGTAGTAGTAGTAGTAGTACTAGCAGTAGCAGTAGCACTAGCAGTAGCCGTATCAGTAGCAGTAGCAGTAGCAGTAGTAGTAGTAGTAGTAGTAGTAGTAGTAGTAGTAGTAGTAGTAGTAGTAGTAGTAGTAGTAGTAGCAGAACCGCCGACGCCACGCTGTAAGTGAAGCAGCAGCAGAAGCAGGCAGCACGTCGCCGATACAGCAGCAAAAGTGGATGCTGTGCTGTGCCATGCTATGCTCTGCTCTGCTCTGCTCTGCTCTGCTATGCTGCGCAATGCTATGCTGGGCTAGGCTATGCTATGTTATGCTATGCTATGCTGCGCTATGCTATGCTACGCTATGCTATGCTATGCTATGCTATGTTTTTGCTTTGCCTTCGCTTTTGCCTTCACTTTTGCATTTGCTTTTGTTTTTGCTTGGCACCCAGGGAGCGCAGCTGGGGGAACCGCGCGTTTGCTTTTACCTTTGCTGTTGCTTTTGCTTGGCTCCCAGGGCACTGGGGGAACCGCCCGGGGCGGGTTGCACTGCCCGGCCCCTGCAAGCTACAGAGTAAGAACCCTTCTAGGCAGAGCCTAGGTAGGGAACAAATGTTTGGAGAATGGATGATTTAGTGAAGCGAGAAACGGATGTCTTAAATTGCGCCCCGAATCAAAACAAGACAATACATCGTTTAGTAAACGCAGAAACCAGTTTTTTGAAGTCAAAATCGGATTTTCCAAATCCGGGGCCGTTTTTCGAAATCTTCGATCTTATCATTACCATGACCAGACTGGCTCGATCAACTACCATCAGTCGTATTGGCGCACACCACGCACAAACCAGATGAATGCGGCGATCCCTCGGACAACCGTTCCCGCCGGTACGCGCCCCACACGCACGCCTTATGCTTCAGGACGGCCGCTAAAACGGCCCAAGACAGCTCATTCGCATTCCGTAGCCATTTGGGCTCAAGGTGAGTTTTTTGCTTTCCCACATCGCAACCGAACATTCATTGCTACACTTCTTGGCTATCGTCGACTCAGCAATGGTACACGTACTGATCTCTGCGGCGACATTTGCGTTCGCTTACACTGTGGGCGCCGACATGCACCTCATGCAGATGTCAGTGCATGGGCCGGGCGGTTTAGAGGCGGCAACGTTACGGACTGATTTCACGGGCGTGTCTACAGTGACCTCCATGGTGCCCCACGTGAACGCCAGCCAGCAGAAAGGAGGACGACAAGTCGAGGCGGCTGACCACATGGTGAGAGAGGCCTCTTGGAGTCAGGTGGGGTAGGACATCGATGGCGAAGCCGGAGGCGATATGAGTGGCTGGTCGGTGTCGCTGAGCAGCGACGGCAGCCGTGTGGCCATTGGAGCACACGGCAACGACTGGTTTGGATCAAATTCTGGTCACGTTCGCGTCTTCGGGATCTCGGGCAACACTTGGAGCCAGGTGGGGCAGGACATCGATGGCGAAGCCGGAGGCGATTATAGTGGCAGGTCGGTGACGTTGAGCAGCGACGGCAGCCGCGTGGCCATTGGAGCAGACGGCAACGACGCTGCGGGGTCAAATTCTGGTCACGTTCGCGTCTACGGGCTCTCGGGTAACATTTGGAGCCAGGTGGGGCAGGACATCGATGGCGAAGCCGGAGGCGATATGAGTGGCTGGTCGGTGTCGCTGAGCAGCGACGGCAGCCGCGTGGCCATTGGAGCATACGGCAACGACGGTGCCGGATCAAATTCTGGTCACGTTCGCGTCTTCGGGCTCTCGGGCAACACTTGGAGCCAGGTGGGGCAGGACATCGATGGCGAAGCCGGAGGCGATTATAGTGGCAGGATGGTGTCGCTGAGCAGCGACGGCAGCCGCGTGGCCATTGGAGCACACGGCAACGACGGTGCTGGATCAAATTCTGGTCACGTTCGCGTCTTCGGGCTCTCGGGCAACACTTGGAGCCAGGTGGGGCAGGACATCGATGGCGAAGCTTCAGACGATGCCAGTGGCATGTCGGTGTCGCTGAGCAGCGACGGCAGCCGCGTGGCCATTGGAGCAGGCTACAACGACGATGCTGGGACAAATTTTGGTCACGTTCGCGTCTACGGGCTGTCGGGCAACACTTGGAGCCAGGTGGGGCAGGACATCGATGGCGAAGCCTCAGGCGGTTCTAGTGGCTGGTCGGTGTCGCTGAGCAGCGACGGCAGCCGCGTGGCCATTGGAGCAGGCTACAACGACGGTGCTGGGACAAATTCTGGTCACGTTCGCGTCTACGGGCTGTCGGGCAACACTTGGAGCCAGGTGGGGCAGGACATCGATGGCGAAGCCGGAGGCGATATGAGTGGCGTTTCGGTGTCGCTGAGCAGCGACGGCAGCCGCGTGGCCATTGGAGCACACGGCAACGACGGTGCTGGGTCAACTTCTGGTCACGTTCGTGTCTTCGGGACCGAGGCGTCGACGCCAGCACCAACGCCGGCGCCAACGCTCGCACCGACGCCCGCGCCGACGACGTCGTCGTCCTCCGCCACCGGCAACCCACACTTGCAGAACATGTTCGGTCAGCGGTTCGACTTGGCGAGGCCAGGCACGTCCGTCTTGGTCAGCGTTCCGCGCGGAACGTCCGTCGAGGACGCGCTGCTTGTTGTAAAGGCCGACGCGCGTCGATTGGGGGCACATTGCTCGGACATGTACTTCCAGGAGGTCAACGCCACAGGGGCGTGGGCGAACAAGGTGCGGCCTGGAGGCTTTCACTTCGACGCTCTTGACGCGCGTGACGAGACGCCGAAGTGGCTGAAACTCGGGCTTGTGGAACTCAAAATCGGCAGCGGGCACACCGACAAGGGTCAGCCTTATCTGAACGTCTACGTCAAGAACCTTCAGCGCACTGGGTATCGTGTCGGAGGGCTGTTGGGAGAGGATGACCACACGGAGGCGGCGGCGCCCGAGGAAGGGTGCCAGAAGATGATGTCCCTCCAGGCGCGCGTGTATGGTCAAGCTTCGGATCTACAGGGATCCGTCGCAATCGGCTACTGAGCCGGGGGCTCCCTGCTCCACGCGGGGCGGTCTAGCCCGCCCGCCCGCCCGCAAGGGGTTGATGTTTCCCGGCGACTTTTCGTCCGGCAATATCCAGTGCAGGGATTCCAGTGGCTCCACAGAAACATGCTGGGCCACTTTCGCCACTTTTGCTCGCCACTTTTGCTCGCCACATGTTCGCTGATTCCAGTGCATCTTTCGCCACTTTTGCTCGCCACGGGCTCCCGATAAGTCTCTCGGGAACCCGCCATAAAAAAAGACTGCTCATTCGCATTGTCACCGTCACCGTTCACATCACAACGCGCGCAACACACTGCTGACGCGACGACCTCCACCGCATGCGAATGCCAGAACGCTGGCGCACACCACGCGCAAACCAGATGCATACGGTGGTCCCTCCGACACCCGTCCCCTCCAGCACGCGCCCCGCAGTCGCGCCATACGCCAGCTACGAATGCCAGTCATCGGGCTGTTTAGCATGCCGAGGGTTTTGGGAGGATTTGTTGTGTTGTCACCTTCAGAACGGTTGCCATTTATATTTGGCGCAAACCAGCTCCCGTTGCAACGCGCGCTTCCAATGTATCCTGTCTAAACTTTTTACTTCATTGCAATCAAAGAGCACGCCTCTCTTGGTTCGCTCTGCCGTCGCTTTCAGAAGTGAAATGTTGAAATCTTATGTTTGAGACGCCGTCCGTAAAACATTAGGCTCTCGCTCGAGACAACCTCGAAACATGAAGTACGGAGTTCGCTCGCGAAATCTAGCGAATCGTTCGGCGATGCGAGTCAACAGCTCGGCGGGTTAAAACGGCCACGCGGGTTAAAACGGTCACGCTCGGCCCATGTAGTGTTCAAAGGTCAGGCGGGTTGAATTTGCTATGCGGGTTAAAACGGCCAAGCGGGTTCAACGGCCACGCGGGTTGAATGGCCCCGTCCATTTTGGGTTAGAAACACCATCCGCATCAGAACGGCGATGCCGTTTAAAACGGCCAGGCAGCTTTGGGTACACAGGTTGGCGACGAACCCCTTGCGTACACGCGTTTATACGGCCGCACACACAGGCAAACACAGGCACACGCACACACACACAAACACACACACACAAATACACGCACAGGCAATTACGCGCACAAACACATACGCACATACGCACGCACCCGTACAGAGGCCACGTGGTACAGCTGACCAAAGCAAGCACAGGCAACCATTAAGCCCAAGCAGGGTAGGTGACCATCATCATCAGCATCAGCGTCATCATTACCAGCATCAGCGTCATCATTACCATCGTCACCACAATCGTCATCATTAACAGCATCATCATCATCATCGACACCATCAAGGACATGATCAGCGTAGTCGCCATTGTCATCACCATCGTCAGTGTCATTGCCATCGTGGACTGCCACACGACGCGTTACACGACGCATGCAACACACAGATATCACATGATTCACCTCCAGAACGCAAATTGCCATATAGAGACGTACACCACGCACAGACCATGCTCATGTCGTGCATCCCCCCGCCCGTCCCCCCCAGAACACATCCCGCACGCCCGCGCGTGCCCCAGCCGGTATCGGGAACGTCGTAGGGGTTCGACATTTGCTGCATGCAGCCAGTTTCGGCCCCCGTTGTGGAAATCAGCCGTGTGAGCTGATTCGCTAACACCCTCCCCCCCTTGGCCTTTCCTTCCCCCTTTTTCGTCCGACCAGGGAGGAGCTCTCGACCCCGATCCACGAGGCACCCTGCGAGTTTGCGCTGCCGGCTGGGGCACGTCAGGGCTTCTCGCTCGGCGCGGGGGAGCCGTCCCGCTGTTAGACTCTCTGGAACTCCCTGTCTGTTTCTGGACGATGGAACAAACAACATCTATGAACGCAAAGTTTCGGAGGCCTGCGCGGATTTCGCGAATTGGCGCTGGACCCTCCCCTTTGGCGCGCGGAGCCCGCCAGGGGCAGCGCCGGAGGTGTCGCCAGGGGGGTCAAGCAACGTGCCATCAATCTTACGCGCACCTCTCAAACTTGATGCTCATGATGCTTAATGATTTAGCATATGAATGTTTGTTATTATTGTATTTTTCATCATGATTGCTACTATCATTATGATTATCCGTCGTAGTAGTAGTCGTATTAGTAGTAGTAGTAGTAGTAGTAGTAGTAGTAGTAGTAGTAGTAGTAGTAGTAGTAATAGTAGTAGTAGTAATACTTATAGTAGCAGTGGTGGTGGTGGTGGTCGTGGTCGTGGTAGTAGTAGTAGTAGTAGTAGTAGTAGTAGTAGTCGTAGTAGTAGTAGTAGTAGTAGTAGTAGTAGTAGTAGTAGTAGTAGTAGTAGTAGTAGTAGTAGTAGTAGTAGTAGTAGTAGTAGTAGTAGTAGTAGTAGTAGTAGTAGTAGTAGTAGTAGTAGTAGTAGTAGTAGTAGTAGTAGTAGTAGTAGTAGTAGTAGTAGTAGTAGTAGTAGTAGTAGTAGTAGTAGTAGTAGTAGTAGTAGTAGTAGTAGTAGTAGTAGTAGTAGTAGTAGTAGTAGTAGTAGTAGTAGTAGTAGTAGTAGTAGTAGTAGTCGTAGTAGTAGTAGTAGTAGTAGTAGTAGTAGTAGTAGTAGTAGTAGTAGTAGTAGTAGTAGTAGTAGTAGTAGTAGTAGTAGTAGTAGTAGTAGTAGTAGTAGTAGTAGTAGTAGTAGTAGTAGTAGTAGTAGTAGTAGTAGTAGTAGTCGTAGTAGTCGTAGTAGTCGTAGTAGTAGTAGTAGTAGTAGTAGTAGTAGTAGTAGTAGTAGTAGTAGTAGTAGTAGCCATCCGAGATGCGAGCGTCAAGGCCGTCACGCGCCGCCCTTCCCGACGGACCGCGCGACATCACCGCGATGTTGCGCTGCCGTCCACAGCCAGAGGCCACTCCCGAGAGCGTTGCACGCCCGTCTGCGCCGCTGGTCACCGACGGCTCCGACTTCGGTTTCGTGGGCAAGTCGCGTCGCAGCTTCAAGCAGACAGGTGACATGCCCACAATGCCGCGCGCGCCGGGCTACCGCCAGGGGCACAGGAACAATCTCGACATGACTCACTGGCAACGCCCATGTCTTGCCTCCCGCAACCTCGCCAAGAAAGACGTTGCGGCTGAACCGCGCGGACGGGGCGCCCTCCGCAAATCATTCGGACGTCTGGAGAGGAAGCAAGCTTCGATGGTCGAGACGGTCATGGAGCGTGCCGATGTTCATGCTAATGCACGCAAAACTGGCATAACAGTTCACTCTGCTAACGCACTGGGACTATCTCCCGTCAAACACGCAGAATTGCCTCCAGAACTGCAGAAGTTCAAGGACCGCGTCGCGGTTTAGGGCGACAACTTGAAAGACGAGAGCGGCTTAGCCGCTGCATTCACCGATGCCGCCTCCAGTGCTTCACACACTGAGGCTTCGAAATTGTGAGACGCCAAAGCACTTTTGCTCGGTTGCGGAGGCGAGCAGAGCGACGCCCCTGGCGCATGCGCACAGGCATTGCTCTACGGCGATTGTCGCATCGACCCTGTTGACACATGGGTTACCCTTGCCCGACTGGCGTCAGCCTACGTCTTGGGCGAAGTACATTAAGCCTGTTCGTCGACTACGCCTCGCTCTCTATGCCCCCCTTGGCGGGCACATACTGGGAGCGTCGCTGTCGCGCTTGTCTGGAGTCCGTGGGATTCCGACCCATCCCTGGATGGGGGCGCGTCTGGAAGCACGACAAGCTGTATCTCATCTTATCCGTTTGCGTCGATGATTTCAAGATGGCGGGCCCCAAAACCAACCTGAAACCAGGATGGGGCCTGATCCGACACAGCTGAATTGAGATCGACCCACCTACTCCGCAAGACCAGTATTTGGGCCGCGGTCAGGACACGTGGACAGTACCACAAAGCGTCTTTGACTAACGCATGACCACGACCCGACCCATGCTCCCGAAGCATGACATTCAACAGTGCACATCTGCAACCGACGTTCGTGGGATTCGAAACGATATGCTTGGCTTTGCTGCCCACTGCATCACTCGGCACTGGCACTTGGAATGCGTGTCCAAATTGCCGGGCCCGCTCGCCATCGACCCTGCCCCAGATCTTCTGCGTCGGTTGAAAAATCCACGACCAGATTCTCTGCGCCGGTTCATGGAGGGGAAAAAAACACGAACGACACTACTCGCATCGCATGCGACGATCTCCCACGCGCCGACGCCCGCGGCATCGAGGACACGCCCTTCACTGAAAGGGGCTGCGCGGACGAAGGGGCCCTCAGACTGGACGCAGCGAGTGTGGTGATGAAGATCTCGTGCCTGGCGCGGTGCCGCAGGCTCGACCTCGCGCCTTCAGTCTGCTTGTTGGCACGGGAGAATTCCATGTGGAACTATGCTTGCGACGCGCGTTTGCACCGATTGGTTTGCTATTCGAGGTGTACGCGCACGCGTAGCCTCCATGGATGGATTGGGGATACTTCGGACGAGATTTCAATCGTGCTCTTCACTGACGCCTCCTTCGCGGACTGCGTCAACAGCTCCGCGTCGCCCGCCGTCCTCGTGGCGCTGGTGGGTCCAAGCGCGTCATTCCCGCTCATCGCTGCGCGCAAGAAGCACACTGTTGTCTCGCGCTCTTCCACGGAGTCCGTGGCCGCGGCTCTTGACGCGGGTGTGCACACCGAGCGTCCACCGTTGCTTTAATTCCGGGAGGCTGCCGTCAGTGGCCCGATGCAGAGGAATAGTACTAACATGTCCATGGCCGCCAAGAAGAAGCGATGCCAGACGCCTCCACGGAAGGCGACGCCAGTTCGCGCGTCCTCTCCCGCGCCCAGGACATCGACGTGAGCCGCGCCACCATCCCCGACTCCATCATCCAACATCGCGCACGAGGACATCGTACTACATGCCCCGCGCCTCGCTACCACACCAGCGCCATCTCCGATAGTGCACCTTATTGTGCCAGAGGACGAACAGGCAGCCATTGCGATAGTGCAGGAGGAACGTGCGCCCGCGCCTCGTCATTTCCATCGTACTC